AGAAAGTCGGTTTCTTGGAATTGATTATTCCGGGTTACGTGAATTCCGAATTGACTGAGAAGGCTTAGTTAAGAAATGGGTTGGTGAATTTGAATAAAATTATGCTTTCTACGGTGATTATAATGTTGTCGAACAAGGGTTGGGTTGATTTGGTTGAGTCATATGTTTTTGTGGGAATCATTTGGTTGACATGAATGCCAAACGTGGTTCAAAATGTGAGGCAAAACGCATATATGATGAATGATGAGTTACCTGAGAGGAATTTGGTTGTGTACAACACGATAATTATGGGTTTTATGAGGTGTGGGATGGTGGAAGAGTCTGAGCATTTGTTTAGGAGTATACCTGAGAAGGACTCTATACTTGGACTATAATGGTTGGCTAATACAGAATTGGTTGGCAAAAGCAAAAGAAGCCCTGGATCTGTTTCGTGAAATGAGGTTGAAAGAATTGGATATGGAACAGTTTACTTTCCGGAGCATCTTGACTGCTTGGGGAGGTTTTGTGGCATTGAGAGAAGGCAATCAGATTCATGCTTATATAATTAAAACTTCTTATGTAGATAATAATGTTGTCGGCAGTTCTCTGGTTGGCACGTTCTCTAAGTGTAGAGCATTAAACGTGCAGAAACATTTTTTAGGAGGATGATGCACAAAGAATTGTGTCATGGACTGCAACGGTGGTGGATTATGGCCAGAATGGGTACGGTGAGGACGCTGTTCAAATTTTTTGCGAAGCTCTTGCACAGATCTTGCTATTTTTTTGCGAAGCTCTTTCATGGTCGAGCACTAGTTTCATGCTTAATTTCCTTTATTACAGTTTCGAATGCACTTGTAATACTGTATGGGAAATGTGGCAGTATAGAAGAATTTCATTGTTTGTTTAATGAGATGAAGTATAGGGATGAGGTGTCTTGGAGTACATTAGTTTCTTGCTATGCAGTTTGGAAAAGCCAGAGAAACAATCAGTTTATTTGAGGAAATGTTAGCTCATGGTCTACAACCAGATGAAATTACGTTTCGTGGTGTTCTTTCAGCTTGCAGTAGGGCTGGACTTGTGGAGCAAGGGTATCAATATCTGGCATCAATGACAGAAAAATATGGAATTATGCCAATTCTTGATCACTACATTTGCATGATTGATCTATGTAGTCAAGCTGGACGGTTAGAAGAAGCAAGGACTTTCATACTCCAAAATGCCTTGTCATCCTGACGCAATTGGCTGGGCTACATTACCGAGCTCATGTAGAAATAATGTCAACCTGGCAATAGGGAAATGGGCAGCAGAATGTCTTCTGGAATTGGAGCATCGTAATCCTGCTAATTACGTATTGCTTGCCAGCATGTATGCTGCAAAAGGAAACTGGGGTCAGGTGTCTCAGTGAAGAAGAGGAATGAGAGATAAGGGCGTGAAAAAGGAACCTGTATTTAGTTGGATCAAGTATAAGAACAGAGTACACATTTTCTCAGCTAATGACGAGTCAATTACACTTTCAGATCAGATATATGAAGAGCTGGAGAATTAAATTATAAAATGATAGAGGAGGGATATGTTCCAGATACGAGTTCTGTTCTGCACGGTGTTGAGGAATCTGTGAAAACGAAGATGCTGAATTATCATAGCGAAAAGCTGGCTATTGCATTGGTTTGTTTTTTATTCCTCCTGGGCTGCATATAGAAGTGGTAAAAAAAAATCTCCGTGGATGTTTGGACTGCCATAATGCAACTAAAATAATTTCAAAGATCACCTGCAGAAAGATTCTTGTAAGAGATGCCATGCGTTTCCATTTATTTACAGATGGAAAATGTTCTTGTGGAGACTTCTTGTAGTGGGGTTTATGAGCATTTTAAAGATACCATGGAGGACACTGAAACCTCCAAAGATACAATCATTCACGAGCAAAGATCTATCCATTTCACATGAAAGATTATCAGTTTATTGAAGAAAAACATTGGCTCGGTGTCTTTCAAGGATGCTGAACTGCTCGTCTATCTACTTGTATGAAGATTCTAACTAGCCACGTCATTGTGGTTTCTTCTGGCAAGGTATGATTTCTAGGTCCTCCAACTCGTGCTAAATTGAGAGAGAAATAGAAGTCTTCCTCTTCGGATAAATGGGTGCTGCTGCTCCAAACTTCTGCAACAGCAAATTGAATGAAACATTATGTGTTTGCTAAGCTGATTGTCAAGATTGAATTTTTTGTAGATAGCAGTGTCATTAGTTGTAAAGATGGAAAAGCATATTGGATATCAGCGACTTCATTCCATTTTTCTTTTGCAGCACAAACCATGCTATTCTGTATGAAAATGTAACCTTGGTCCTTTTTTAGTTCCCACTAGTGTTATTTTATCAAAGGACTGTTGCTAGTTTATTTAGCTCATTTTAATACCTTTAAGAAGTTAAGGGCAAAATGATCTTTGTTTGTATTGTAATACAGAATTATCTTCCAATTCCTGATTGACTAGCTGCAAACTTTAGGGCGTTATAATGTACACATGGAGACGGATATAGATGTCATCTTATGGAACTTTATCTTTTCAGTTCTTTCTGTAGATTGAGCAATTTAGGATATGATGTGTTTGCCTGTCCATAGACGACCATTCAATAGTTAGGTTAATTACTCGAATAGAACAGTATAATGAACATATTCATTCACCTTTGTTGAGCTTGAACATTTTGAATTGATAAAATAAACAAATCACACATCCTTTTGATACAACTCAATAATTCACGTCAAGTAGAAGAAAATCATACAACAAATGTACTACATGATTGGTAAATTGTTCCCATAGTTACAAAGAGTTTGTGAACTTGAAAGTCAGAGTACGATAGTATAAAAACAGAAGCCAAATAACTCTTCTTCTTAGAACCCAAGCTGCTCTTCTTCTTGAATTGATTTTGTAGACTCCAACTGACTGTGCTGTTGATTCTGCATGAGCAGGAAGTATAACTCAGTATGATTCATTTTGTACAGGAAAGAAGTTACAGTGAGGCATTAGAAAACTACCTGGAAATGAGTACAGATTTCTACGACTTCAGCAAGAGGTGCCCAATCACCGAAGTTTCTCTCAATGAACTGGTAAGCAATGCCACTCTTTCCTTTACCAACTATGAAGAGGCCACCTTTTATCTCACCTTCACCTTTAAAATTTTGGTCCACTCCCATGGCCTTTGCCCGCTTATAATTTGCAATTGCTCTAGGGTTGAATAGAAAACCAGATATGAACTTATCTTTCAGCAGCTTCCCCCCACCTAGGGCTTTGAAAAATTCCATGCCCCTGTCAAAGAGCACGGCACCACCCCAGTATCTGGGCCAGAAGTCTTTTACCTGTAACCATTAAATGAAATAATTGAGCACCCATAAGCCAGTTGCCGTGCATGATCATGTGAGGTGAAAAATATACCTCAGATTCTATATGCTCGTGAAGTACTGCAAATAGTTGGACCCCGAGTGCATCAAATATGGGTTTCTTGGTATATAGTTGGTGGGCTTCAGCTCTGCACATGATACACCTGTTTACCGAAACACGTATGAACATGAGCATTCCCATAGCATATTCAATATTCAACAGAAGAAGATACAATTAAATGCGTAGTCATTTATCTTTCTAAGAACCATGTTTCCTAATATTTTCTTCGTCCTCTAATATCTTGTACACACGTGTTCAATAACAAGACCAAAAAATCCACTAAAATATATGCAGATATAATCGTTCTCAAAATGTTGGCTAAACCTATTTACATATTTTGCGTTCTGCATTTTTACAAATTTCCTTTTGTTTGTGATGTATGATTACAGGCCTTCTAGCATTTTCCGAGAATAAAATTCTAGATTTGTTGGAAGTACAGTTAACAAGATAAGTGGATGTCAAGTGCTGTATATTCATAAAAAGGTACCCTGGTCGACGGATGCAGAGGAGTATAGCTGGTTTCTCACGCCATAATTCTGAAGCCTTCATTGGAGGTGTTCTAGTTTTCACCAAACGCTCCACTCCAATCTTATATTCTGGAGTTAGTTTCTGAATCGAGATATTCTCAATCAAGGAATAAGGGGCTACGTTCTCAACTATTTCAGGAGGTTGGACACATCCACATGCTCTAGGTTCTGCAGGCATTGCAGCCACAATTCCTTTATAGACATGTCCATCTTTTATTTTCAAACTTGCCATGGATGGCTCCAGGGATAAATCAGCACCGCTTCTTCCAGGGGATTTGGTCACACTCTGAGTCTGCAGTTTTCTTGAATTAACAGATGAAAGCTCACTCTTAGACATGCTATTGTTTCTTGAAGGAATAGTGCTTCGTTTTCTTGCTGGGAGAGAATATGATGCTGGTAAAGGATCTATGCCACATGCACTGGTTCGGTCCATAAAACGAGCAATATGGCCTCTTTTCATTCCGAACTGAGTAGAAAGATCCCCAGTTGACAAGCTGAGAAACTCAGGAAGACATTTCCCTGAGGACTCCAGCTTATCCCCGTACTGCACCAGCCCCCGATCATGCAGGTATGACCTAATTTCAAGTGCGTCCTTGGGTAGGATAAAGATTCAATCTTAGAACAATGATTATTCATGATATCTTATACTTTGAAAATGGACAAACGAAAGGGCATGCAAGATTTCTTTAGTTAAAAAGATATAAGGGGAATATAGATTCATCACTGAAATTGCATCAGTTGCACGTATGGAAAAATAATACATAGACTTTGTCATTTTCATTTCCTTTATATAGGAAAATTCTCATGAATAATAAGTTTTATTTTTTTTCCCCTGGAACATGATTGTTGAACTATGAGGGTGATTACAGAATTTTAACTTAAAAACTTGTAGCTAACTGTTGAATTGATAGAAACTTGAGAAGATTAAGAAGATTTTGAGGATAAAATAACCTTCTGCTGTCGAGTCATGCCTAGATCATCCATGTCCTCGGAATTCATAACCTTTAGAGTCGGGACATCATCCCAGCCTTCCTCCAGAAGCTTTGGGAGAAGTTTTTTCAGAGATCCATTCCCAACAAAATCCTCAATCGAGAAAGAAGCCATCCTTTTTTCACAACTCTAGTTCTTTGTTAAATGAATTGAGGATAAGATATGGAGAGCAACGAACCAAACTCAATGATTGATATATAAAAATTGCTGCATTAAATATTTTAGTTTTGACAATTCAATGCATCTAATTTGATAATGTCAATGACCCAACAATTTGCATAATGCTTGCATATTATCCTTGTTTTTTATATAGTTAAAAGAAGGTTATTTGAGTCATCATAGAGAACTATTTGTTTGTTTCTTAGTGCATGTTTGGCTAAGCTTAAAAAATTACTTATAAGTAAATAAGTGCGTTAAACAATGATTTCTTTTGTTGGAGAAAATGTTACTTATTTTGAAAGTAATTTCGTGCTTCATAATCAAATAGTTGCCTTTTTTTTTATAGTAAAATAAGAAGGAAAAAAACAACATATTCAATCATGTTTTGAAACAAAAGATTTACTTAAAAAGTAAATTTGACATAGTTTTAAAATTATCACGAAATTGTTCTTTTGCTCTCGGTGGGCAGAATAATATTACAACTTGCTGATGTGGAGGGAGTAAGGTTCTTTCCAAATGGGTAAGATAAGAAACATTTCTGTATTCAAACATGTTGTAAGTCTCTGTTAGATTGCTGGCACGTCTTTTTATTGTTTGTCCATAATACTTGTACTTTAGCATCTTTATCTTACAATATTTTTGATTAAAAGATTATAATATGGCCCTGTACTACCAAGGGTGCCCCTGTATGCCTATCATGATTCTTGTTTAAATGATGATGTCTTTCGAGTTTTATCAACTCTTTCTGCTAAAAGCAAAGATATTGTTATTATTATTATTATTATTTTAGTAGCTTTTCAACTGTTTTCAAGGTTAGGTCTTGAGTAGATATCTAATAGAAATGATCAAAGATGATAGATATTTGAGAACAAGGGTCAAATCTTGTTCAATTTAATGTATCAAATATGCAATTGATGTTTGTGTTTTTAACACAATAAGAAGTATGGTATTTTTCTAATTATTTTTGCAGCACTTTGTGAATTATTTTGCCGGATGGATTAAATATTTTTATAATGAATATCTTAATCAACAAAGTGGAATAAAATGTGTTTGTTGAAAACTTCCAACAAAGTTGTGGAGCAATCTAGAGAATGTAAAGAACAATTCAACTGGATTTATTTAGCCGTCTACAATCGGTGCAAGCAAATTATATACTCAGATTTGATTCGGAATTGCAACAACTTGTGTAAAATATAATAGGGGCTCGATTGGCATAGTTTTTGAGAAGTCAAAAAAAAACTTTTGAGATTCCTATTCGGGTGCATTTGATTGCAAGGGTGGAAAATTGGTGGAAAGAAAATGTTTTATAGGGAAAAGATTGCTTAGAAAATGTTTTGCAGGGAAAATGATTTCAAGTGTGTTTGATTGGTATAATTTTCCACCCGGAAAATTTTTAAATTTTCTATTCGTTTGGTTTTGTTTTACATGGAAATTGTTCATTAAAGTGATATTTTTTTCCACAATTGGTTATAAAATTTGTTTTCATTGCCAAAAAGTTAAAAAAAAAAAAAGAAAAAAATTGTTTCGTAAAAAATCATTTTTTTATCAAAGTTTAGTGTTCGTTTGACTTTATTTTACATGAAAATTATCCATTAAAGTGAATTTTTTTTTTTACTATTAGTTATGACATTTGTTTCCATTGCCCAAAAAAAAAATATTTTCAGTCGGGAAAATATTTTTCCACCA